GACATACGTTAGAATGTTAGTTAACATGAAGATAATTAAATACAACCCCGTATCACTCATAAAATTAGCTAAAATATAATTATTTCTCGTCAATAATGCCTTTTACTTAAATTAGATTTATTATTTGTTTATATGTTTTATTGTAACTGTGATTATATATATATATATAATCACAGTTACAATAAAACATATAAACAAATAATAAATCTAATTTAAGTAAAAGACATTATTGACGAGAAATAATTATATTTTAGCTAATTTTATGAGTGATACGGGGTTGTATTTAATTATCTTCATGTTAACTGACATTCTAACGTTATGTCGAGAAACTCAGCTCGACTTTAGCACACCATTTTATTCAGCAAACGATCAGCTGGTGCTTAAGTCATAGGTCACGTGTCTGTGCATCAGTGATCGTCTTCTTTTCGAGTTGCGACTTTCAAAGGGGACAAAGAGGAATGAGTGGCAATTATGGGAGTTAGTGAGGAGAGCGAGCAATGACCCTTCTAGTTTAACTAAAATTTGTAGTGGAAGATAATTTGTTTTGCTAGATGTTAGTCTGCAACAGAAAAATATTCTCCTTCATTTACGCTTTAGCTGTATTTATATGCTATGAAAGTATTATTCCTGAATTCATATTTAAAAAAAGGAATAATATTTTTCCGTAAAATAGGCGTTATTTTATATTTTATAAGTTTAAGTATAAATGAATCTAAAATAAGGTAATTTCTGTTAGTTTGTTACAACAGCATCATATTAAATATTTATTATAACTTCAAGGAATTTCTTTTATTTATGTAACTACATATTTTTCTTACATAGCGACAAAAAAGTCCTTTTTCCTTTGTTTTTCTGTGGGGGTCCATAGGGAACTGAAATGATAGACTGAAGTCGTGAGCATTTACGTTTAAAAATACGTGTTTATAAAATTTCTGCATGTAAATTCGTTGAAAAGCCTAGACAAACTGACTTATAATTTAGAAAGAAATGAAGTGTTATAAAACGGGTAGTTCACGTTATCAAACTTCTCTGCATCATCGCAATGTATATAAATTTAATTAAATGTTTATAATTTCACTTGTTTTACAAGATGTATAGGTCTTATATTTTAAAACTCCATTTTTAAAAAATATCTCAGATTGCATACATCAAAAGCTTGACTTCTTCTTCTGCTAGCACTACAGCTGATTCCTAGCAGCTTTAGCCATCTCGATCTTTCAGGCGTAAATACTCTCCATCTATTAATCCTTACATTCTTCAGACACTTTTCCATATTACCTAACTATTTTTTTCATGCCAACCTCTCTTTCTTTTTCCTTCTGACTTGGGAAAAGTTTGTGGGTCTTAAACGCGAGAAAGTCCATCCACCTCGGCAAGATAAAAGCTAGACTAAAATTCATAAATATTCAAAACGCGAGGGAAGCAAATTCGATTATAAGGAAATTGCTAAAACAATACTGGAGCTCGGAGAGATCAGCGTGCAGGGGGAGGACTCTAAAGATAATTATAGATACAGTTGTATGGTTTATAAGAACAGAACTAGATATGCTGGAATTAATTTTTTTTTTTTTTTTTTTTGTATTTTAAAAAAAATAACGTGAGGCTAAATTATTTATTTGCTATTATACTTTCTAAATTATTACTTAAATCCAATTTCTTACCCCTCTGATAATTTTTTATTGTAATTAAAATTGTTGACAAACGAAAGTAAAATAAATCTTATTGCCGCGTAGACAATTACCTTGTTAAGAGATACAAACAGAAAAGAAATCGGAAAATATTTTAAGTCGGAGAAAAAAAAATTTTTTCATTATAGATTTCAAATCTGTAATCGGTATCTCTCTACAAGCTATAGTTTTAAATAAAATTTTATATTTTTTTAATTCCTGATCAAGATTTTTTAAGATAAACTTGAGTTAAAACTAAGTGTCCTCACTTCTCCGCTATGTAGGGTATGGTGTTGCAAAGTAGGAGATAATGCATTTCAGTTTATAACGTGATACGTTAAAGTCACATATTTTTTGTTTTAAGTATTATTTTTAAAGGAGCAGACAAAGGTTTATGTATGAATATAATTCTAAAAACTTTTTATAAACTTGTATATCCTAACAACAAACGAAATAAAATAAGAACACCCTTTTGAAGAAAAACAAGTGTAGCTTTCTGAAAAAAACTAATTTCACGTTTGAAATAGCTACACCTGAATCAATTAATATTAACTACTTGTATAAATGCTATAAAAAAAATTTGTTCCCCTGAGTTATTATTATAATTTCTCTGTTATAAAATTTTACCGAAAAGTATCCACTATATTGGACTCAGGGGGGGGGGTAACTGTTACTATGGAATTTTTCAGACACTTCAATTAGTAATACTGCAATATTATTATTTCAGGTGAATTGTGCCCAAATTTTTCAACAGACGATGAGGTATTTATATCTAATTTTATGTTTTTACCTTTGTGTTAATATTTATTTTAGAACATTGGCGACAACAATATATATATATATATTATTGTAATACATATACACTATTAAGATGAATAATACAAAATGAAAAGGCGATTTACTTTGCTATGAATGTTCTAATTTTTATGAATGTTCTAATATATGATGTCACGTCAATTGTTCTATTTTTTACTATGGAGCGAAGGAAAAACATACCTGTGGATGAGCACCATCACAATACGACACATCAGTAAATCCAAAGTTTGCACTGAACATCTGTATTAAGGCAAGTAGACATAAAAAATCACACTTGTGCTTCACTATAAGCATGGTCTTTATTTTTTTTTGTCGAGCATCAAAGAAAATTCCATTTTCTACAGGTATTTTTGGGAGCATTCCGTTAGTTGTTGATCACATTAGGCGAGTGGAACTGGAGACAGCTAAATCCGTTGCTAAACCATCAGGATGCATGGGATTCGGAATTCCCATTTGTTGAAATGAAAGTTCCCATTATTTTTAGAACCAAGGAAGAAACAAAACAAGGCCATGTCGAAAGAAAAAAATCACTGCTGAGCAGGACCGCCAAAGGCACCCACGGGGGGGTGGAAGAAAAGAATGTGGAAAATCTCCGTCTCAAGGAGAGGAGGGGGTTGAAATGAAAAATCCCTGTTAAGGGATCGTAGATTTTGAATGCCAACAAATCTCGAATGCTGCCCGCTCCCAAAAATGGGCGGTATTTAAAGAAACAGCAAGAAGTGGAAGTTAAACTCCCTAAAAAGCAACAAGAACCTTGCTTAAGGAGAGAATTGAAGTGAGTTGACTAACCCCTTAAATTTAAGCATAATTAAACACTAACGGTGACCATACAGTAACTAAAAACCATGTGCTGACATCAAAGGCTGCCGAAGGTCACAGGCGTGAAGGTCGGCAGACAGTGAGGCGTCACAGTAGAGGGGTCAGGGGTGTCGGCCTAATTTCTAGGTCACAATCCCAACAGAAAAATTANTCTCTCTCTCTCTCTCTCTTCTATATATATATATATATATATATACAGAGAGAGAGAGAGACGAAAATGTGATGATGTATCCAGAGTAGCTCCGGAAATTGACCAGCCCCACACTACCGAGAACTCTTAGCATTTAAATATATATAGTCTGAAGAGTTGCAAAAACCCTTTTTCCAAGTTTATATTGCTTCTTTTGATTCTAGCATCCGGAACACAAACTTCTGATTCGCGAGTCTTTGACTTTTTTCACGAATTAAATCCTGCTTTATTATCCATGTTTTATTCAACTCATAATGTTAATGCTTTTAAAACGTCAGATGGTGTGCGAAACTATTGTTGTGTGATTTATTGAGCACCACAGAAGGGAAATCAATGTTCAACTTTAATGTTCACAATTTATTCTGCGTTGAAGTGAATGACTGCTTTTCCATAGATTGAAACTGCTTCAATATTTGACTTGAAATAACTTTCTTTTTTCTTTCCATTTAATTTTAGGTTTCTTAATTTTTATATACCATTTTTATATACCAGTTTATGTCTAGAAAAATATTTCCGTCAATAAATCAATTTTGCTAAAGATAAATTGATCAGTGAACAAGGCACTAGAACAATTATATATTTTAAAAAAAAAGTTATTAATCGTTTTAGCCTAATAACAGCCTGTTATGTATTCTGTTGATTTCTGTTACAGGATTTGAGCGGTTTTTCCGGATCTGGCAGTGGAATGCAGGTAGAAAGTGAAGAAGAGGAAATAATTGATCCCAGAATTCTTTGAAGAAGAAACGAAGATTCACCTGAGGAGACAGAATTTATTTTACCCAATAAAAGAGAACACCATCCAAGTTGTTATTCTTTATTATTTTCATATATATATATATATATATAGTTCAAAATCCAGAGAAAACAAGGAAAAAATTACAGAATAATGAAAAAAGGGAAAAATAATAATAAAAATAACAAAAAACCGGAAAAAAGGGTAAAAATTTTTTTAAAAATCTGGAAAATAAAAGATATAATCTTTTCATCAGCTCACACGATTATATCCGCAAAAAAGAGTGCTTTCTAATATTGCATCAATATAGCCAAAGCAAAATATATCAATACAATAGTGGGAGAAGCACTCAAAAAAGTTTACCCAAAAATTTCAACAAATTAAATCGAACACAATAAGTAAAAATATCACGTAAAAACAGAAAATAAAATATAAAGAAAAAACCAGAATAAAACATGAAATGAAATCTATAAAGCGAGCAGCGAATTCAAATGAACTCACATGAGCGGGAAATTTTTCAAGAATGATTTAAAATATTTTCGTAACTTGCGAGATTCGAAACGAAATATTTTGATTTTGTTTATAAACATCATAAACATATTATTACTGGTAATTTAAATATTATAGAAAACTTGGAACTTAGGAATTTAATGATAAAAGGCACAAAATTTAGACCCATTTACCATATATCAATTCGAAAATACTTTATTAATGATCTCAATAGTTTTTGTTTAAAGATATCAAATAGATTCTCTTTACTTTTAGGTATGCTAACAGAATGGAAATGGGGTGTTTATTATTACTTTAAAAACTTTGTTTTCAATAATAAGGATCATTTAAATAAGTGTAACAATCCAACAAATTTTTGTAATATTGTTCAATCAATTAAGAAACTTAAAAAAAAATCTGTAATTACTCTCATAGACAAAGCTAACAATAATTGTGCTATCTTCTTTAAAAAATTCTATGCTGAACTAAAATTCGGAATTAAAAAATAATGATTCCCCGAACTGATTCCTGGAGGGACTCCGCTGCATTTCCATTAATAAGGATTGGATTTATGATTAGTTTCTCATTCAAAGTGCCCTTAGCTATTTTATACGGGTTGGAAAAGGCATTTTCCGTTGGGAGGTTGTTAATATAATTTCTCAAGTTTTCTGCCTTTGCTTTTCTGATAAGTTTCTTGTATTTAGCAAGGGAAGCTTTAAATTTAATCATGAACTGTTGTCTAGTCTCGGGATTTTCCTCTCTTTGAAATCTCCTCCGTAAGGCCCTAGTTTGTTTTCTATGGAGTCCCAGAACTGGTGTCCACCAGGAACAATGCTTTTTGATTAAGATTGGTTTTCGAATTCGCGACTCTTGGCAGGCCGCAATAATTTCATTGCTTACTTTGTCAATAAATTGATCAATTGTTGTTGAGTCGTTTAGCTTATCAAAATTATTTTTTTGAGTAATTTCATAGAGCTTTGGTCTCAATTTCAACCAATTAATGCTATTATATTTAATAGTGTGATGTTGTCTGTTTACATTGCTCTGTTGACAACTGGTATCAATTATTGCGGTGATTAATTCATGGTCAGAGCATGAGACGCCGTCGTGGACCTCAAAATTACCAATACTATTGCAGTTGGTGGCAATAATGTCTATCCAGCTCTGCCCGAGTACTGAATTGAAAGTAGGGGGAGAGTCTGGACTATTAACAATATCCAAGTCGTGTTTTTGCAGAAACTCCACGACAGCATCTCCTCTGGCATCTCTCTTGGGGCCCCAGACAGTGGATTTCGCGTTCAGATCCCCACACAGCACCACAAATTTTCCCCGAGAGGTAGCCATGATTGGCTCGAGAACATTCAGTACCAAGTCAATTCTATCGTTCGGAGGACAATATACAGAGAAGAAAATATAATTATGACAACCAAGTTTAAAATCTATTACACATATGTCCCTGGTGACTAGGACAGGAAAAATATCACATATATCGGGGTGTACCGCAACCGCTGCTCTAGGTTTGTCTTTCTTATAAATTAATCTAACACTGTTAGGAATGCCGGTAATAATACTATCATTGTTNTTAAATGTGTTATTACTTTCCAATTAAATTATTTCGGGTAAAAATTGATTTTTATGAAGCAGATAAAATTATTTTTTTAATCTTTTTTGTGCAGTAAAATAATTAAAAGAAAGAAAAAAGAGCAATTAAAAATGCTATGTTATTTATATTCATTAGTAGGAGCTAGGGATAGAAAAAGATAAATCACATTTGAATTCTGAAAATTGGAATTCTTTTTCCATTTTTTACTTGTTACTAAGCTTTTATTTTGTGCTTGAAATAGTATTTTTTTTCTTTTTTAGATTTTTTCAGCTGAAATTATTTTTCATAGATCTTATTTAATTGAAATTTCAAATTCTATATTTCTTCGTAGGCTTTGTTTTTATAAGTCCAAACTGCAATCCTTTATGAACAAAAATGTACTAATGCTAATTTTATTGAAAATGTAACGTGTTTAAAAATAGAAAGTTTCAGTTTGTGATAAATAATTCTTGTTAGTTATTTTGTACTGTCGTCCCCACTTAATCGCATATCGGATAATCGAATTACCCGCTTATACGAATAAAATTTAATGGAACCAAATCATTTTAGAAGAAACTTATGTTAAACTTCCCCGTTTAAAACGGTTATTTGTTGTTTTCTGCCCCCGCCTAATTGCATAAAGAAGTGGTATTGAAATGAAAAAAATATTGTTTACTTTTGAGAAATGTTTCACCAGCTAAAATGGAATTTTCCTTTTTCAGTTAAGATAAAGATACAATAGGTGGTCACTTCAATAGGGACTTCTTATTCATTAATAGGTGTTTGGGGTAAAGTTGAAAAATTAATCAAATCTTGCTGCCAGTTTTATACATTGAAGTAAACGAAAGGGTTTTTACCCCTCTTTGACTTACTTCACACACACATCATTTAGAATGTAGAAAAGGGATAGAGTGATTTGACTTGTGATCCCCTGTTGATGCACTATTAACTTTGATAAGAAAAAGTTTCAAAAACCTTAACACACCAGTGTACAGAGAGTCTTTCTCTTAATTAGAATAATTGCTTAACCCAGGTAATGACTTTGAGTTGGGTGCAAGTTGAGAGCGAAAAAAAATGATTTAAATTAATGGGAAAAAAGCAAAACAATGAATCTTAGAAGTAATAAATTTCAGAAAACCCTTAACTAAAATAGCGCATTAATTTAAATAGAGCATTAATTAAAATTTCTCAAGTTTCGAAGATTAAAAAAAATAAATAAGTAAAAAAAATTCTGAATGTGTTTGAAAGGAATACACGCAAATCATGAAATTTTTAGTAGAAATTAAAAGGGAATATCTAATTTTGATGAATTCAACTCGTATAAAAAACAGTCTTCAATTATAGATTTTTTCGGAAGGGATCAATTAATATTTTAGTACCTACATTATAGTTTTTACTAATATTGATTTATTTTTGTGTGATTTTAAATGACATTTATATTTTATGATACTAACGCATACAGTTTTAATTATAATTGTTCATTGATCATAAAACTGAGCTTATTTAATCAAAATGCTATACTATGCATTAAATACCATTAAAAAGTAGAATTTCGTAAAAATTCAGAATTTTGGGTTGAATATTGTACTCCCCTTTTAATCGAATAACTCGTTTAATTGCATAGATTTGGCTGGAACCGATGGTATTCCTGTAAGCGGGGTTGACGTATTTCTTATGTATTTAATTATTTAATGTTTTTATATTATCTTTTTGACTAAAGTTAACAGTTTTTCATTTAAGATAATTATTAGTAAAAAAAACTTTATAATTTTGTAATTATGTAAAAATTCAATTCACAGTTTGTATTAAAAATCCAGAATCATACATTTTAGCATAAATGCTTTCATAAGTTTTTATTGTTAAATCTATTATCGTTAACTGCAAAAATGACAGTTGCGACAAATAAAAGAATTTTCAGCAAGATGAAATTGATTAAAAACTATCTTCGAACAACAATGACCACTGAACGCCTAAATTCACTGCTTTTACTCAAAGCAGAAAAAGATACTGTTGAGAATATTAAGCGTGATAAGTTGGCAGAATATTTTTCGCTTTTAAAACAACGTCGAAGTAAATTTATGTAGCTAATATAATATAACGTAATTTTACTAATATCTTAATTTTTTTATCATTTTTACGAGGATTTCATTTATAATTTAAATGGCGAATATTTTCAATGTTTTTCTAAATTTTTTTTCTTATTTTTTAAAAATGAAAGGTAAATTTACTTTTGAATGAATTTTGTTTTGAATCAATATCTTATAGAAGTCTGTATTTACCGATTATGACTTACTTTCTCATCTTCAAACAGTTGCTGTAATTAGCTTATGGTAACAACGTTTAAATGAAACGAAAGATACATTTTAATTACCATGTGATTTTTTAAAAAATATTTAAATATATTTCAAATTATTTTGTATTTCAAAGTTGCGTTGAAAAACATTTAAATTTACAACTTTATTTTTTAAAATTATTTCCACAAATAATTATTGCTTAATATTACTGAAAACTTATTTTAATTGGATAAGTTTCAGTTTATTTAAAAATAATTTTTTCTCTTTAATATTTTGTTACCATTTTAATAATTAAAATTAATGGAAATGTAAAAAGTTTATTTTCTTTGCATTATTTTGAATAATTACTGGTACTATTTAGTTATCAATAATACCACATATTTCACCCATGGCAGTTGCATTTTTAAGTGCTGTAAAAATTATTTCGATGAATAGCAATGTTTATAACTAGTCGAAATGTTTTCAAAATAAACTTTGGAAGCTCAATTTTTATGGGGCATTTGAACTCTTTTATTTGTTTTACCTTTGATTATCAAGCTTTAGCCATATACAAATTGTGTATGTATATATATANACAAATTGTATATATACGTACATGACAGTCGGCAAAGTAAACTTCTACACCCCCCCCCTCTCGAATCGGTTGGGGACGGGCCTGATCATTTGCATAAATGCAAAAATTTGTGAAAATATTGCTACTATAAG